ATAAAAAGAAAAAATTAAAATAATTTAAAAAAATATGCCGTAGTATAATTTCCCGCCAATTTTTTTGAACCTACAAAATTTATTAGCATAATTTGATTCAACTGAAAATCCAAAACCAACCCTCAAAATAAAATTTTTTCAAAGAAATCGACAAAATCAAGACAAATCCAATGATAAAAAATTTTGGCGTCGTGCTGTTAAGAGAGGCATTTTATACAAACATGTGGAGAAAGACAACATCAATCAATTGGTTATACCAAAGTGCTATAGACATGATATTATCAGGACTTCATGATAACGTATGTCATTCGGGTAGAGAAAGAACTCTCGCTTTACTTCGTGACCAATTATGTCTATTAATGTCGACAATTGGGTTTCGAAATGTAACAGATGTCTCCGAAGGAAAACAAACACCAACACACGTGCACCATTGATCAATATTGAAACAACATACCCACTTGAGATGGTCTGCATGGATTACTTAACACTTAGTGCCAAGGGAGGTACAGCAAACATCCTTGTTATTACAGACCATTTCATGAAATTTGCAATGACAATACCCACAAAAAATCAAAATGCGAAAACAACTGCAAAAGCACTTTACAACATTTTCATAGTTCATTATGGAATCCCGACATCTATTCATTCTGATCAAGGAGCAAATTTCCAGTCTGAAATCATGAAAGAACATCACCAATAAGAAAAAGTCAAGAACTTCAGTCTATCACCCAATGGAAGATGGAGTCTGTGAACGATTTAACCGAACGTTATTAGACATGTTAGGCACCTAAGAAACATCTCAAAAAACTGATTGGAAGAAACATATACCATCTTTAGTCTATGCCTACAACAGCACGCCACATGAAACCACTAAGATCTCGCCATATGAATTAATGTTTGGCAGAAAAGCAAATTACCCATTGATTCAGTGTTTGCTCAAGCTACAGAAGAAACAACATCAAAAACACCAACAGAATATATAGATGACCTCAAGAATTATATTAGCGCAACAAGACAGACAGTAGAAGAACATACAAAAAGAGAAAAGGAGAAACAAAAGAAATATTTTGAGAGAAAGGCTAAAGCAGGAACAATTTCAGTGGAAATCAAGGTGTTAGTGAATATATTGAAATATGATGATAAACACACGATTGCAGATAAATTTGAAGAAAAGCTTTTTGATGTTATAGACCAGCCTTTACCAGATATACCAGTGTTAAAGGTAAAGTCAGAACATAATGGTATTATAAAGACATTACACAGGAATCATTAGTATCTAGTACAAGAACACATCAGAAGTGGTTCGGAAGAGTTAAATATGAGAATTGAAAATGTAGAGAGTGTGAGCAATAATGAATACAGAGCGGTACCGAAAATCAGAATGTCTTCCAACAAAGACACAAAGATAGGAAGTGAAGGATCAAATAAAAGAGAGAGCGAAACAAAAGATAAAAGTAAAGGTGACGTCACAAAAAACGAATCAGAGAATTCAGAAGATACAGATTCAGATTGGGAGCAGTTATGTATTTTATACATGCGGCAGTGGGGACGCCCATAAAAATCCAAAGAAGAACAGGGATGATAATAATTTTATAGAAGTAGAACAAAAGAACAACTAAAATGATTGTAATACGAAGACTCATGAACATACTGACTCTAAAGAAGAAGACCATAGTGATCAAGAGCTAGGAGTAGATATTGAGGACGGTGTGGAGAGTGTTGGAGCAGACACTTTACTAGATGAGGAACCACAAGAAACATTACATCAGGAAATAGAGGAAACAACAGAGGAATTAAAAGATTCAAATGAACACAGTATTGAACATACCGATTATGACATTCCTGAACCAAGTCATATAGTGGATTCTTATGACAGTGATATAGAAAATACTGAGATAAAGTAAATAGAGGTGGAGAATGAACAAAACATACACATGAGGAACAAAATACACATGATGAACATAGTACACAGAATGATCAACATATTGAAACTGAAGAAAGACAAGGAATTGAAAATAGAGAGGAAACCCTTCTACCTTAACCTACTCCTAGAAAGTCTAAAAGAGAGAGAAGACAACCAAAATGGTTTGACTCCTATCAAATAAACCGGATGGTGCGGTGAGACCGTATGACTCTAAGCTTCATGCTTTAAATGTACTTATGACATCAGGAGTACTCAATGATGTGGATTCTGAAGTAGCACATAAAGTTGTAGACGAGGAAATGAATGATTTTGAAATGTTTTGTCGAAATACAAATTTTGCATTGAAATGAAATGTACAAATAAAGATTAAATGTCCTTACTTAAGGCATACATTTATCTATGTTTATGATTTCTGAAAAGACAGAATTACAAGGTTGCAATTCAGAGAGAGGGGATAAAATAATATATGTTTAACCAGTTTTAAAATTAAATCACATCATTTTTTATTTATTAAATAAGTAAAATTTGATGATTTATTTAATTATTTATTAGTTTTAAGTCATTTAATAATACTAAATAAATTTAATGATGTGTACAATTCAGGTCTAAAATCAAAATCAAAGAATGATTTAATGTTATATTGCGTAATCAATTACTTGTGGATAAGGGTCACCAGTAAAAGTTGTGTGTCAATTGTACGGTGCAACATAAAGCTTTAAATAGGGTGGAAAGGAGTAGAGATAAACTATATATTGTTATGTAGTTGATTTTTGTACGAGACACGGTTATTGACTTGTGACTAAGACGGACCTGATTGAATGACGAGACGTCATTTTCCAAGGAGGGGAAGTGTGTAACAGGGTCATCTTTTCGTGTTTTAGATATAGTTGGGTTGATTTGAGTTACTTCCCTTGTATTATTATTTTTAATTGTATTTTTGACCAATCAGATGATCGCTTTGAATTTCCCTCCAAATGTGTTTAGTTTTATGATTTTTGCGGGAGTTGAAAATAGAGAATAATTGGGTTTATGATTTGTTTTATTCGTTTTATGGATTTGGAATAGGTATTATGGTATATTTTAAAGTTTATTGTTGGGCAATAACTACTATATTTCATGTAAACAGTGTAAATTTATTTGGAGAAGTAAATTCATGATTTTCATGTTTTTAGAATTTGAGTAAAGAATTGAGATGGTTCAGAAATAGCATTCCTTTTTAACTTCACTTAACTCTTTGTCGTGCACATTGTTCTTAATAATATGCATTCTTTATTTGATAATTTGCAGCACCCAATCACTGTGTGAATGAAGTGTTTGTTGATTGGAGTAAAGTTAATTAGATGGTTTGAGATTGTTTAGAGCATACAATTCCACAAAATGGTAAGTCATCATTATATATTATAATTGTGTATTATTATGTGTAAGTTATTGCTGTAACTTTTAACTGACCATTTATTGTATGTAAGTAATGTAACTGTAATATATTTTAATGTTATTTGATATTATTGTTAAGGGTTAAGAAAAAGCCACTAGAACCACTAAATAATAAGAATCAAATGTGAACTATTTGATCATTATGGTTTAATGTGTGTTTAACATTATATTTTTGGAATTAGAGGGAGATAACCCTGCAAAGATAAGACATTAAGTGAATAGGCATTTAGTGACATTTTGTATGTTTTCAGTGTGCTGGACTTGTTAACTAAGTTCTCAAGTTGACTGTTGATAAAAGTGGAAGCAAAGTGCAGAAACAGTGAATTTATGGTTTGAGACATTTTAAGAGTAATACAGTGTTGATTTATATTCATTTGTTTATCAACATAGTAACACAATGAACTATTAATAAATCTATATGTGCACCCAAGCCTATTTCGATTTGTAATATTTTATTTAGATGCAAAATAACCATAGGTTGAATTATAAATATTAGTTTATTATGTGATGCACTGATGAAGGCATATAGCAGAAACGTGTACAATAAATAATTACTAAATGTTGTGTTTCTGTAGCTTGTCTGTTTATTTGAAAAAATATGTACACTCCAATCTCAAAATGTGTACCTAAAATGCACCAGAAGCAATTTAAAACTAGAACTACAACTAAATGTGATAAATACCCCCGCGATACTACATACTAATGAGGAAGTTACTAGTAACAAAATATATTGCAAAAGAACTGAAATGGAATTATGGTTGTTGGCAATTTAAGATAGTTGTGGTTCTTGTATGTTGCATTTCCTTTTAATGTGGTTGGCCATTGATGTAGTTTAATTGAATTACTCTGTAATGAGTCCAAAAAAGATACACTTCTTGAGCACTGCACTTCCTCTCATTGCAATTGACCGTTGAATGAAGTTTTATTTAATTCTAAACATTAGTTTTTAAGTTGTGCACATGACAAAGCGCAATATATCTACAAATACTGAATATTTATTTATGGTTATTATACACTGCACTTCCTCTCATTGTGCTTGACTATTGTAATTTGTTTTGAATTCCAACCAGTACTTTACAAGTTATGCTCCGGACAAGGAAAAGTAACAAATGGCAATGACTCTGTATTTTGTCAAAATGGTGCTATCATTCTTATGCTTTGCACCTCCATTGAATGTGCTGGACGATTTTATGAAGTGGTACTGAATTCCAACAAGTAGCTTTCAAGTTATGCTCCGGACAACGAAGAGTAAGAAAGGGCAGTGATTCTGTAATAAGTCAAGAAGGAGTTATGGTTCTTGTGCACTGCACTTCCTCTCAATGTGCTTGATCATTGTATGAAGTTGTATTGAATTTCAACCATAAGTCTTCAAAATTATGCTCCGGACAAAAAAGCAATGGCAAAGTAACAAAGGGCAATAACTTTGTAATAACTTTAGATAAAGTTATGGTTCTTGTGCACTGCACTTTCTCTGATGTGCTTGACCATTGTATGAAGTTGTTTTGAATTCTAACCATTAGTCTTCAAGTTATGGTCCGGACATTAGAAAGCAATGGAAAAGTATCAAAGGGCAACAACTCTATAATTACTTCAGATAGAGTTATGTTTCTTGTGCACTGCACTTCTCCTTATTGTTCTTGACCATTGTATGAAGTTGTTTTGAATTTCAACCAGTAGTTTTCAAGTTATGCTCAGGACAAGGAACAAAACAAAGGGCAAAAACTCTGTAATTAGTGAAGATGGAGTTATGGTTCTTGTGCACTGCACTTCTTCCTCTCAATGTGCTTGGCCATTGTATGAAGTTGTATGGAATTATGCTCTGGACACGGAATATGCAACGGACATCTGGACTGACCCACCACGGAGTGAATCTATGTACTCCCCCATCCACAAAATAAACACACAAAAAAACTTTATTTCGGAGGTAAAATGAAGATTTTATTTTTCTCTAGGGGGAGGACCCAACATCATCCAGGGACATCTGTGGTTTTTATTTTTAACCAGTGATTCAACTAAGAGTTATACATTATGAAGGACTACTTAGTTGAAAACAAGAACCGGTTGAACCGGGTGATGCTGGGAGGAAATTTTGGACACAGGAAAATATTAAGAAAATGAACAAAGGGCAAGGCATACAAAATTAGGCAAGGTAAAGTTATGTTGTTTTTTTTTTGCACTGCTCTTCTATTCAATAAGAAATATCTATTTATAATGTTTTGTGATGATATCTCTTATAGGGTTATGTCCCGGATAAAATTCAAAGTGTAAACATGAACAAAAGGCAATTACTCCAAAATAAGACAAGGCTGTGTTAGGTTATTTAGCATTGCAGTTTTATCCAATGAGATCCATCTTCCTACAAAGTTTCTTGTTGATATCTCTAATAGTTTTAGAGTTATGTCCCAAACAAAAAGACAAAAGTAAAAATAAACAAAGTGCAATAACTTCAGAATAAGGCAAGGCAGACTTATGATATCTCTTATAGTTTTAGAGATATGTCCCGGACAATGTTCAAAGTGTCACAATAAACAAAGGGCAACAATTACTCAACAATTAGGCAAGACAGAGATACAGTTCTTGTGCACTGCAGCCTTAATCAATGAGATCTATTTACCTACAAAGTTTCATGCCGATACCTCTTAAAGTTAAAGAGTTATGTCCCGAACAAAGTTCAAAGTTTAAAAATAAACAAAGGGCAATTATTCAAAAATTAGGAAAGGCAGAGTTATTGGTCTTGTGCACTGCACACGTACTCAATGAGATCTATCGACTTACACAGTTTCATGTTGTTACCTCTTAGAGTTTTAGAGTTATGTCCCGGACAATGTTCAAAGTGTTAACATAAACAAAGGGCAATAATTAAAAAAATAAGCAAGTCAGAGTTTTGGTTCTTAAGCATTGCACACCTACTCTATGAGATCTATCTACCTACAAAGTTTCATTTTAATACCTCTTGTTGTTTCTAAGTTATGTCCCGAACAAGAAAAGCGGACAGACGGACGGACAAGGCGACTATAATTTTTCTTACAGCATAACAAAACACAGACAAGAAATATTACACATAACAAAAGTAGCATTAGAATATTGATTACATCTAATAAATACTGAATAATAATGAACTGTATGTACAAATGTAAATATAGTTAGAATGCAAAATATTTTGCAAATACATGTTGGGTACCAACTTTTCATTTAAGTGTATAGAGCTCTACATATATGATGCATTACAGAATACATAAAATAAAATAAAAGTTCTGTTGAGAACATATATGATGTCACATGAAATTTTTCAACGGGCAATAGTCAAGCAGTTTAAAAGTAACTATTTCAATGTTCCATTGACACAGCAAAGGAAATCTATAACTTTTCATAATGCTGTTGTATTTTTTTCATTCAGATAACAAATTATGGATTTCGAAAATGAAAAGAAACCTGATCTATTTCTTAAACATGATTATCCTACTGTTTTTTAAAATACTAAACAACTTAACTGCTAATTCATCAATTTATGGTTTGGTCCAAATTTTACCAAACAGAATTGTTGAAATTTCACAGTGCATAATAAAAATATATACAAAATAGCTGATACTGTTTTATTCTCTTAAGATAAAAATTTGTAACTAAAATCTACATGTGGTCATCTACTAGTTATGACCAATCAATGTGTGAAATATGAAGACTTTTTAAAGATTATCAGCGGAACATGTGGTCTACCGACGGACAGACCAATCGACATTTGCAAAACAATATACCCCCTCTTCTTCGAATGGAGGCAGAGTGAGATAATGTTGAATACCCCTCGTACAAATATTCAATATGTATTGGCTAAAATATGACAAATAAATAGGTATTATCAATGCTGATTATCTTCTGCAAGTGGATTTTTTTTAAAGAGCTGTGCAATAAATATCAGAAGCAACAAAAGCAGTAAAATATTATCAACAATCTAGTTTTAACAGTCAGATATGGGCGGAAAAAATATTATTTACAATAAATGTTCCAGTTAATTAAGATTATATTTCAAGATGTAAGGATCAGGCATTGGCCAGAATGTATGCATTCAATAAAGGTTATGTTGCTATAATCATTAAACTTAAATTATACAGTACTCAAAACATCTGACAACTGTCAATCTCAGTTACATAATCTAACATAAACACATTCTTATAAGATTCTTTACTATCAACCGTTTAAAAATCAACATAAAAGCAACACGACACGATTATTAAATAAATCGAATGTTTCTCACAATCTTTTCAAATATTAGCAAATTGTCTATATATATTATACAATTATTGACTAGTGAGCCATTGAATATGATGTGGTATTCACCGGTAAATGTCATATTGACCGAGGCATAGCAGATACATACATGTGAACTTATTTTGATGATTAAGTGGTAGACTTTTCTTCAAAAAGAGATTTTAGAATTTGCAAAATACTTCTGACATCAATAGGGACATTTCTTTAATTTGTGAAAGTACCCCTTACTTTAAGAACAAATCTTTGAAAATAAGGCTGCAGAAAGTGGGTTTGTTTGTTTTTGTTTGCTTGATTTTATGCCTTTTCCCTAAAAGTATTCAGTCATATACATGATATAGGCGGGTAGTTTCCTAACCATCGTTCCTGGAGAGTTATACCAGTTCTAGACTACATTCCTCCGTGCTAAACTACCAAAGCATCTCCCGGGGATCGAACCCACGCCAGAGAGGTAACTGGATTAGAAGTCATCGACTTTAACCCCTCGACCACGGAGGCGGTACAGAAAGTGGGAGTCTCCTGCTTAAAGTGGGAGAGGTAACATGTATGCAGAGGACAATATGATATGTTGTCGTTGAATATCATATCATATTCAATGAATTTGTTTGTTTGGGTTTTACGTCCCACCGACACAGCATAGGTGATATGGCGAAGTTCCAGCTTTACTGGTGGAGAAAGACCTGAGATGCCTATTGAGCATTATTTCAGGCACAAACAAACACCTGATTAGAACCACCGTCATTCCGTTAGCTAGCTGGATAGCTTCCTCACATGAAAGATTCCAAAGTCCCTGTCGGAATTCGAACCCACCGTGTTGATGGGCAAGTGGTTTGAAGTCAATTGATCATTAGTCAATACTTGTTTTAAATGACCAGCCTAAGATTAAAAACACACACAAAAAGTAAAGCTTAGTGTAAAAACAAGATATAAATGTACTTATCGTTGCGTTGTTACTTTTACCTATGATTGTGGAGTAAATAGATTTGAAAAATATGCCGTAAAGTACAAAATTTGTTATTGAATGAATACTTAGACCATAAATACAGAATACATCTCATCATTGTACTCATGACATTTCAATAACATATAAAACAAGAATGTGTTTGTAAAACATAAATGCTTCCAGCTCAGATTCTTGTCAGTAACAATATTTAAAAAAAATATTTACTTATTCACTCAGTTAAGTGACAGAAAATAGTAAAAAAATATGTAAACATGGTAATATAACCTGACTTTGTTTGTTTTAGTATAGATGGAACTTAAGATATTTCCAACTTGCTGTTTTCGGTTGGCCAATTATTCAT